TATTGATTTCATTCTTTTATTTTATGTAATACAATATCATAGGGCGAGCTGTGTTTACTACAAAAGCCTTCAACAAAGGGGATTTTCTACTGCAGTATCGTGGCGAGCTGGTGGATGGAAAGGAAGGAGAGAAACGAGAACGCCGAAACTCATCTTCCTTTCGTTACTTTTTCAGGTGGCGGGGGAAGAAAATGTGGTAAGCAGTCTGAATTAAACAATATTTGGTACTTTTGGAAGTTTGTGAATATCTATTGGACAACTACATGCATGTAAGTGAACTAAAGAACGATCATGTGTTCTAATATAAACATTTACAATGTAAAAGTGTGTGAATTCCTCCTCAAAATTTTGTTCCACTGTCATTATGTTAATTTACACTTTGTCCTTTTTGTTACTGATTATTAACCCCACACATTAACCACTAACCACATGCATATATAACTTTGTCCATGACATTTGCATTTGGGGTAACTGTATACTTTGACCTCACATTTTGTGTCACTGCTCATACTGGTAAATCAGTTATGGGTCTTTCTACAGTATTCGGTAATAGAGTATGAAATTTACCTCAAAATTGAAATTGCCTGGAGATTTTATGGCTCAATTTTGAATTGAGGGTAAAAATGCAACCACCTTTTGAGAAAAAGTAGTAGAAAGATAACTTTCACCTTGTACATTGAAAAAAATATGGATTTGACAGCTTCCTACATAGGGTATTACCTATGTAACGGGGACGGACACCTTGGTAGGCCCTGCACTCAGACAAAGTATTAGAGAAATTGTTGTATGTGTATATGACAAGTGTAAGTGATTATTATAAATAATAATACCCAAGTGATTCTCCTACGAATTACCTTTTGGCCAAAAAGGGTGTGGGTTTTCAGCATTTGAGGGTATGTCCGTCTCGTGTTACGTGGGTAATGGTACAAGTCATTTATTCCGTCTTTTATGTCATCACCTCGTTTGTTTTATTAATGTATTCTAGCTTTGCACACAATGCTTTATGTGGTTACTTGTCATTATACTGTCACTGGAAACAAATTTGGCTGTCTCCCTCTGCTGAAAAGAATTTTTACACCTTCTTTATCATTACCCACGTAACGACCATTACCTACGTAACATGGGTGACGGACAAACAAACATGAAACTTCCGGTGAGGAAGTTGGAAACATTGTTTGAGAACAACATGTCAGAAACACATTGCACCGAGTAGAGAAGACTATAAGATGCCAGCCAGGGATCTATCTAATTCTGAGTTAGCAAAAGGTCATGTTACTTCCATGGCTGTTACCCACGTAACAGGAGACGGACACCTGAAATTCAGATTCACTGGCCGTTTTGGGAAACTTTTCAATGGAAACACTTGCTGTCATGATATTTGCTACACCATAGATACCAAAGCTATAAAACAGTCATAAGCACATAGGGACAGCAGGCTTCTTGTTTCTGTTCTGGCTAGGCATTACCTACGTAACAAAAAGACGGACACCGTTACGTGGGTAATGGTGTCCCTGACAGTTGGCATATATTTTACAAGTGAGATGGCAGCAGTTACATCCTGCATTATTTATGTGGAAGGGAAGTCAGTTCTGTGTACACCATAAATTAAGTTTAGTACTAGGGCTTAAACAGAGTGAAAAAATAATACTTCCTTACACATCAAAATATTGGCACAATATTTCGCACCATTTTAAGGGCAGATTCTTCAGAGTTAAGTGAGTAAAAGACAACGACAAATGGATGTGATTTTATTCCTAATATCTCTATAAGACGTGCTTAACAAAATCATATGCAACTTTTAACTCTTCCATGGCCAGTTTTTAAAAAATAATCATGTAATTTTTGTCCGTCTTTATTACCGAATACTGTAGAAAGACCCATATATTAAGTTGCCCTCACATTTTGTGCCACCAATGATAAATCACACACCATGTTCACTTGTCCTATGTCCCAAACACATTAATTAGACAAATTACATACTGTTCATTTACTGGTCATCATGAATTTGTTTTGATCTCACGTGTTGTTTCTCGCTATTCCATAAAGTACATGTATTCATTTGTCCTCAGATTTTGAATCACTTTGCAGGAATCATTTTCCTCATGCATTTTGCATCAATGCTGCGTACTTGTCAACACCCTCTTGTCATATACATACAGGTAGTGCGTTGTAATCACTTGTCCTCACAGTTTGCCTTGTCTTACATTTTACATTGTGATCGCTTGTCCTCACATTTTGCCTTGTCATATATCATACATTGTAATAGCTTGTCCTCACATTGCCTCATCATATATCATACATTGTATTCACTTGACCTCACATTTTGCCTCATCATACATTGTATTGGCTTGTCCTCACATCATTTTGCCTCATCATACGTTGTGCATTGTAATAACTTGGTAATCACTTGTCCTCACATTTTGCCTCTTGTGTTGGAAAATAATTTTATTTTGTAATTTTTTTTACGTCAGTTCTGCATGCTTGCCCATGCCCATTTTTGGCAATTTTTTAAATGAACCATGTTCATGTATTAGCTCTGTTGTTCGCAAAAGAAATACATTTAGTCATATAGGCTTAGGCCTGCATTGCACAACAGTCGCATGAAATTAATTGGAATTTGTATTTAAAAAAGTTCTGATAAGCATGTTGTTTAGAAGACCCGTGAATTTGTGTATTTTATATGGGCTTGAAACTGCCTGAAATGGGTAACTAACAGATGCTTAAAATTTGAAATATTTAGGTCGTCCACGCAACTAACAAACTTAACGATGGCCACTGCAATGGCACACCTGGTAACGCGGGCTGGCTGCACACGTCGCTTGATGTACACGGCACAGTATGAACTACATGTATCACACAATGTGCATGGTTAACCATGCTGTGGCCAAAATTTTGGCAAAATCACGAAACACAACCTCGTTATAAATACCTTGAAACACAAACTACACACAAAGACAGTACAGCGAAAACTCTCTAAATCATTTGTACTCTTATTCCAAGAACCCGCTAAGCCGCAAACGTTAATGCATGTCTCAATACTAGTCTGGTTCCGGGCCTTCATCATAAGCACTGTAGCATTGGCTACCAGTGGCCGAATACGATCGTGTGTGAATATTGGCGTGTGCTGAGCTGACCAACTTGGGTCGCACAATCGGATTGGCCTCGCACACAGAAGAAAAAATGAAAAATAAAACATCCAAATCGTTGAACAAAAAGTGGAATTCTAAATTGGGGCAGCATGGGAG